ACAATGTCTATATTCACTGCTTACACTGGCTCAAAACTTAAAAAGGAAACAAAAAACTATCTTGTCAGAGTGACTGCAGATACACACAGGATGATGATATGTCCCAGTAGTTATTAATATGATGATCACTGAAATGGGGAACAGTTATAAGTTATTAATTCTTTCCCTTCAATAGGCATCAGGTTGACATCCTTGTGCTTGTATCCTATATAATGGTTAGCTGGTTTTCACAAGCTGCCTGCAAAAGTTTAAGTCTCTAAATTTGTAAGCTTTTAATGCAAAATTGATGTCTCTTCAGAAACATTTTAATTAAAAGAATTAATAACCAGTAAATAAAATACACAGGCAAATTGATAAGTGAAGTTCAGTAGATGTGAGATAAAAGCCTTCTCCAGGTGTTTTCCTGCCTTCCCAGTTATCCATCATAAATACCCACAAAGCATGGTTAAAAAAATGCACATTGACTCTGAAGTGTTATTTTGCTTGTAGCTTGGTGTTAGCAGCACAGCTGGCACTTTCTATTTTGCTCCTCAGCTTAATCTGTGATTCTTCTGAAGTGACCAGGTAAGGTGTTTCAGAACATAAAGGGGAGCAAAAAGCCATACACCACCCCACCTCCAAGAGCCATGGAGCTACTACTAGTCATGAGCCAAAGTTAAGAGAGGCAATGTGAGAAAGCACCTACTCTGCAATCCCTTAAATCAGCTCTGCTACTGGTAGGGAAGGGATACAGCATGACTGCTACAAATAAATGATAAGATAAGCTATTTATTTCCTACTGCCTTCGCTTCAAAGACGCCAGCGCTGCCTTTGTCACCGGTGGAAGTCAATGTGAATTAGCCAGATAGACAGCTTGGTCCTCCCTCATGTCTGGCTTACCCACAAGGTAAGCAAAACAGCAATTACATCAACTGAAAGAGTAATTACATCAACTAAAAGAGCAGAACAGAAGCGTAAGGACTGCACAAATCAAGCAGCAAACTGTTTGAACACTGAAATGTCATACTCTGCCCTGTCAAGTCAGGGATATGTTTGATCCTGCCTTACAGATAAAGACAAAACCAGCAAGATTAACAAAACTTTTAAAAAACAAATTTAAAAGCTTGGTAAAGTTCCTAGTACAGCTATGCAAATAGCCACAGACTATGAAAATAAGCATTCTGGGACACCTAGAAAAATAGCACTTTATTTTATGGTGTTACGACAACAGTGGTGTATTTAGAAAGGAATGAACCACTAAAATAAAATCTCTTTGATCATATCTTATCAGTTATAACAGTATCCAAAACCACCTGACCAGAAACTTTCTCCCAGAAGTTCAGTTTGGCTGCCCATTCAGTCTGTCTGTGGCCTTACTGTAATTTCCAAAGATCATTAAAACAACTCTGCCCAAACCCTGCAATTAAGTATTAAGTAGCGTCACTGAAAGCGTCAGTCACTCTCACAAATGCTCCTGAGGAAAGACAGAGCAGATGACTAGATGTTCACTCCCCTCCTCTTCCAGATTAGGGATAAGAAAACACAAGAACAGATTTTTTTTTTTTTTTTTTTTTTTCACTCATGTTTCCTTCAATGACCATATTTAGGAAAAAATTCTCAAGGTATGAATTTCCTTCATGTCATTATATAATTCTCTTTCCTTCTGTTTTCATTTGATCACCAAGCCTGCTGCTTCCCTGGGACAGACAGTATTCTCAAGCACATCCCCCCTACACCAATCCATCACGGTGTTGAAACACTTGCACCTACCTCAAGCATAGACAGAAGGTCATACAAAACTACTGGAAAACAACCCAAAACACAATCTAGATTCCTCATTTCCCAGGAGCTTCCACACAGAGCTGGAGCTCTGGCAACATCCCATGGCAGTCTGCTCCAGAGATGCTGACACTTAAAACATGGGATTTCCAAACCTGAAGGTTCTCTCCAAAACAACAGACTTTGGAGAACATGAGCTGTTGTGCCAACAGGTGATAGCATGCTTATTTCTGACACAAGAGTTTTGGCACCATACAGACCTGGTTTCTATAGGAATTTCAAACTTCTTGCAATAAATTGTTTGCATTTTTCTAGCTAGCACTAGCAACAAAATTAGTTTGATTATCTGTACAAAGGAGATGCTGAAATAAGAAACACGCTATACATCATTCTATTTCTAGACACACTTTCTAGGTCATATGCATTAGTTTCCTTATAAACAGTCAAGAGTTTTGCTTTGCTCAGGATTATGCAACAGGAACCAGAAGTCTTTGCCCAAAGCACGGTTAGATAGTACAGTGGGCTCACCCACAGTCAACTGTTCTGCAGAGGCCATGGCTCAGCCGAGATTTACACATCAAAGAAAAGTGAGTATGCACATCTCCACAAGTCAATGTGGGGTTTTTACCCCCACGTCAGAAGAAACACCACAAATTGCAATTTGTCTCACAGCATCTCTTCATTAAAGTTCCTAAGCAGCTAAAAAAACCACCTTGAAGATTGCAAGGTTTGTGTGGAAGTGTAGCAATCACCCCAGATATGCCTGAACCCTGCTTTTAACAGTGGCCTGCTACTCCCAGATCAGGCAACCCTAGAATTAGATGTAAATTCCAAGGCTGGGATGATGCCTGTCCTAAATCCAGTCCTTGGCCCATACGGCCTAGCATGGTAGACAAGCTCCCTCTTGTTGACCAGCCTACTCTCAGCTGCAGCAGGACTACACGGCCACCCTGTCAGCTCACCTCATCATCTGTTAACCAGCATTCGAGTACCAGCTCTATACTCCCAGCACGAGCAACTGGGCTGGTGTGAATCTTTAGGCTACAGCACAAGGCACTACACATTAAAGAGGGTGAAAAGTTGTTTAGGCTTGTCAGATAGGGTGTATGGCAGCCTACATAGCACTTGTACACGCTGCAATATTTGAAAAGCATCTTTTAAAGATGGAGCCTTTTAAAGGTGAGAATTTTTCCAGTTTTAGCAGAGATAAAAGTGACTTTTTTGATTCTGCAGTTCTCAGCATCTACAGAGAGGTGGGAAGGGAAGCAAGGTCACCATGAAATAACCCAAACCAGTCTGTGATTTTATATTCCTACAGTTTGATAAGAAAATTTTATATTTGCATAAGAAACGACTACAAAGACTATTTCCTAATCCCATTTTTTTAAAGCTATTTTCTCTACTATTTTGTCTACTTATTTTGTCTAAGTTTTCATGACTTGGCACTCCATCCAAATTTGCACGGAAAATCTATTACTATCAGGCTGTTGAGTTAAAATTCAACATTTTCTCACTTCATTCTACTGCTCTTAGAGTGAACTTCCAGCATCTGGGTCCCAGAAGTTCTTGCTCTGAGATGGCAACCTGACCATACAATTATCATCATTAGTGATGAATGACATTTCTGAAACATTTTTCTACCATGTTAAGACTCTCATAATACATCCAAGGATGACTGTTGACCATTTCTATTCTGGAAAACCACCTCTCAAGGGGGATGGAAAAATGTGGAGATCAATCTATTACTATTCAACATGTAACCAAGTACATAGCACTGACTTTCAGAACGTCGGGCAAACTTTAACTCCCAGATTTTAAAATCTTCCATCATATGACAGTAAATTTATGCAGCTGAATAAAATTGGCAGAGCAGAATGTTCTTTTAGCAAGCAACAAGTTAATTTAGCAAGCAATTGTGCTTGCTAAACAAAACTGTGAAGAAAGAAAACCTGAACACAGCCACAGTTCAGATCCAAGAGGGTCAAGAACTCCCAGAAGCTTATTTGACCTAATGAATTGGCTGTTTGCATTTCAGCCAGTGTATCTGGAAAAGTTACAGATGGAGTGTGAAGGCAAAAAAAAATCCGAACAAAGATGCATAAATTTATGGCTACATGTAGACATTTATCCAACCACTGATCGATCACTCAAGTCAGCCTCCTAAATATGTGACTGCAAAGTCAGGTGGCAACCTCACAACACACTGGAAACACTTCTCTATCCCAGCATCATGACGAGGAGAGGAAGAGTTGGCCTTAACCTCACCAATACCATGTCTAACTCGACAACTATATCATTCCTGCAACATACAGACCTTGAAGACCAGGTATCTCGTTTTCAGCCACGCCACCCACATCTGTGATCACACCCTTGTGCTATTATGCACAGGGCTTACCAAATGCCATTACTCTCACAAATTCTGATCAGGCCTAAGTTATACAGGTCATGTCAGCTCTCTACAGCCACAAGGCAAAGCCTTTGACTTCTTGCAGTATGCACTCCTGTAGAGGAATTACAGAAGGGGAATGAAAGTCAGAATAAGAGATTATACCTACTTCCCAGCCTTCTATTCCTAAAATTAGACTTGGAATCTACATCATATGCAAATCATGTTTTGTGACAGTATATGTTTGCGTGCAATAGTCTATGCTTGCATATATGTTATCTATTTTAGCCTTAAAATCAGCATTATATATTTATGGCACTCTGGCTGCCCTCTTAGAGTGGGCTCATTTCCACCCAGCACAGAAGATAAGAGACTAAGCTTTTATTTTCCTACAGCTACCACTCAGGCATATTCATTATGTTTCTGCATTCATCATGAGGGGTTTTTTTTTCCATTTTTTCACATTGTGCATAGAGAAATTAAGACTTTTAGAAATCAAAAGTAATACTATATGACTCAAACATATTTAACACTTAGAGGCAACCTGGATTTCGAAAGAAACAGATTTGCTTGAAAACAGACAATTTACAATGCAGTAATAAAGGCTACTGCTAACAATTACTGGAAAATGGTCTGAAATGTACATACCAGGATCTACACACATGAAAGAGAAAGAATAACTCATCTTGAATTCTCTTTAAAATAAGAATGAAGTAATGAAAGTACATTTCAGGGGAGGGATGGTGTGATTTTTGTCTTGCTTGCTTCAATCAACACAGACCTTTTGAGGAGAGAGACAGTTGGTACCATCTGTTTCAGGACAGAATGAAAACTAAAACTTCTTTACTGTACTTACATGTGAGGACTGAGTTCATAAAAGTTTCGGTTTCGGTATTCTTCCACTTTCTCTGGAGTATAAATGGGTAGAGGTCTGTAGGGGTTTATTGATATCACCACGCTGCCAATGTATGTCTGTTGAACGAAGACAAAAAAATTATCACAGATTTTTCTTTTTAAAATACTTTTGCTGCTTATTCTCCCATTTAACACTTATGTAAAGCCAAACAAATAAAACAACAACAACAAATAAATATGCACATATACTTTGAAACACATTTTAGAGCTCTCTCAGCAATCACTGTTGGGTACCAAGCAGCTATTTCTACATAACTGAAAACCTCTTATAAACATTTTTAAAAAGGAAGCCAAATCACACAATATTTCTGTGACTAATTCAGCGGGAGAAGGGAAAAGAAAAAGGACACATGTTCATGAAGAATTGACTCCATCTGCATGGCAAATGTCACACAAGCTTTGCTGCAGCCTTTAGACACTGATACTAAACCACACAAAGGCAAGGCCAGAGCTGGACTGCACTCCATCACCTGAGGAGGAGCTTCACACCATCTCCCCCAAGCCTCGAGCACAGGAGAACTTCAGAGAAGAAACTTGAAGGCTAACTAACAGCCTCTGACAGGTTTCTGTCAAAAGAGAGGTTTACTATCAGGATTCAAGCCAAAGTCCTGCCATGGTTCCTCAGCAGACACGAAGCATAACTTTTATTTCCAGATTCTAAACATACTTGACATTATCCTGAGAAAGCAATGTCATTTTTTTACTCTGTTAGGTCCTATTCACTACCAAGCTGAATGAAGACTGATACCATGGCACCAGAATTACCATGTTGGCACATGACACCATCAATCTACTTTTGTCAAGCCTACTGGTGGGTGCCCCACAGCTCCCTACAAGTCCCTCCAGCTGCAAGGACTGCATTCAAATACACTAGAGTGGCAAAAAATGCCAAAACTCCATTCCGCTCAGCCTGCAGATACTGATCAAAGGTTAATTAAACCTCAAGTGTTTGGTATCTCTTCCCACCACACTGAAATAACACCTGGTGAAACACGAATTTCCAATAACCCAGGACTCCCTGGGAGGTGTAAAGGCTGTACACAAAAGCCACAGGTTCCCGTTACTTGGGTTACACTTCCCAGTAACTGCAGAAAAAAAACAGTGGGGTTTAAATAGATCCGTGGCTTTAAACAGCTTCTTTCCAGAGACACCTTAGTGCCTCACAATCACTATTTTCATTTCTCCCTTCAATTTTTCTTCAAGGGAGGTGCTGCAATAGGCATTTCAAATGGCAACAGAGGGACAAGAGCCTGAGGTACTCACCAACAGGTTCAGCATTGCTGAATTACCCCCAGAGCTGCAGTCACAAATCAAAAATATTAATTGCTCCAACACTTCCCTATCTAACTTTCAAGTCTAAAGCAATTTTCTGTCAAATGCTAACCAAGTTTTGTCCTAAGCAAAAAGCTAGGAGAACAAAATTTCCCATTTGCTATAGCATGCATACGCACAGGCAGACTGGGAACTTTCACAGCATTTTCTGTCCCATTTATAACAGAGTTAAACAAACTGGACTGCAGTGATAAAAACAAGTAGCACAAGTCCTCCAGAGACTCTCCTAGTTCATCTTCGTAGTGTTTACTACTCACAGGAAGAAAGAGAAGCAGCCACTGCTATTCACTGTACAATAGCCACTATATTGAAATACAACACTTCACTAATTGGGCTCAAGACTCACCATTTCTAAACAAAACATACTTTCTAGTCTCCTTTGGAACTGTTCAGAAACCTTCTGAAAAACATCTCCCCCCATGCATCCAAGCCCAGAAGAGGCCAAATACCCTAGAAACAGGCTGGTTTCACAGCAAGAGCCCATGCAGAGTGCTGTGAGGGGGAACAAGCCTGAAGGTTCCTCCCATCTTGGCAGCCAGGCTGCAACTGAAAAGAGGGACAACTCCAATCTGCCTCACACTGCAACCCAGGAGGGAAGCACCCCCAGAGAGATTCAGATACAGACTGTTGAGAAAATCCCAAAATAATTAAGATTTTTGCCTCCTTCAAACACACGTTGCATTGTGTGCTTATATATATTTGCTTCAAACTAAAAATAAATAAAAATTCTAGTTTTGTGGCCATCCTCCCCCCTACGGAGGAAAATGTTTTCCATCTATGTCTAATCTCTTTGGCTGAACAAAAAGAAAATGCAAAATTTGCCTTTCTACAGTGTTTACTTTGCTCTTTCAACACATGTGGCTTTGGCAATTTGCAAGCCTACAGATTCTTGGCGAGAATAACAGATACCCAAGAGTAAGAAGCTTTCTAGTCTTCACAAGTGCATGGATACCTCAGGAATCTTTCCTGATTAAACATTAACATGTTAACTTGTTTCCTCCACAATCTTGAGAATTTGTGAACTCAGCCTGTTGTGAAATCACTGCTGGAAAGTATCAGCAGTATAGTCGTGAAGGCCAAACCTTGGAGATTATATTTTGAAACAGGAATTCTTTGGAACCCGAAGACTTGCCCTTTTCAGCTATACTGCTACCATAATAACACACAATTTAATTGCTAAGTTCCTTGAAGTGTCCCGAGATGCCAAGGTAAAGAAAGATGAGTGAAAGTGAAAACCTTGATTTTTAATTTTGAATACAGACATTCAAATGAGATTTATTTAGAAGCACCTCTTCTAAAGAAGACCGTAGCTAAGTATTGCTTAGACGATGTATTTTGGGAACTCAAGTCAGCTGTTTATTGTCAGACATGAACAAATACAGACCATTTCCTAAAATACCAATATTTCAAAAGGTCAAATGACTATATAGAAACAAAGACACAATCATGTCCATTTTAAACACCAAGCCAAAGCATGCCAAGAAATCATTGGTTTTGCTGCAAAGCTGCTTACAAGAACTAATACATTTCCTCTTCTAAAACTGCCAGTATCTCAAAGTTGATGCCTAATGGCTACTTGCTACTGGTGGTCTGAGATTCCACGTAACAGGGATAAACAGACCCAGAAAATAGCTTTCCCACATAACATCTGCCTTCCCACCAGAATTCTATTATAAACAAACAAAATAAATGGCTTAAATCTGTGAGCAAGCAACAGGCACAGAAACATTCCAGTGCTGAAAGCAGAACGCCCAAGAATAGTGGGAGACCATACTGTGGCACCACAGGGACTAAAGAGATCCTTCATTTCCCCTGTTCAAGAAAAAAAATCAAACCCCAGAGGAATGTCCTCATGATGGTGAATGCACAGAATGCAGTCAGGAGATCTGATTTCTCCCTTGGCCTTGACATAGTCTCATTAAGCAAGTTTGGACAAGATCCGCTGTCTCCTCAAGTTCTGCTCACTACAGACTGGATAATACTCCTTCCTCCAAATTTCTGCTTTATTCCAATAACTCACAAAGGCAAAATCTGCCTCCTTGCTGTGTTTGTCCAGATCCCAAACCAAAAGGACTCTCACTCCTTATTTATCAGTCCATTTGTCATGTAGCATGGTACACTGTAACGGGTTAACATTTCATCTGTGGAAAAGAGCATTCAAATTTCTAACAGAGAGTCTGACAGAAGGTCCCAACACACCTCTGCAGCCAGGGTACAAACAAGCACTGTGGTGACATCTAAGACACAGGGAACAGGCAGGACAGGCCAGCCTGACAAGGAGAGATTTTGGAAGACCACGAGTAGAGCTTATGGGAGAACATTTCACACTATGGGACACAGTATATCAACAAAGCTAGTTTTCCACATGGCAAAGGTAGTCCTGCAACACCCCAAGGGCCAAGTAGACAAAAGACTGCAGCTGCAGGAGCCAGGGCACATGACCTCCAGCAGCTGAGGCTGCAGCACGGGAGCTGCAGAGCAGGGGCTATCAAAACAGCCTGCTCCGTAACTTAAAAAGCTTTTCTGGATCTGGGGCATCCCCTGCAAAGCAACCTTCTGCAGAATTTAAAGTCATTAAGCAGCTACACAGATTTGATGCAAACCTTCTGGAAGCACGATCTACATCACTTTTGGCAGCTCTGTTAAAAACAAAGCCACTTCTTCTTACCAGGTCCAGAAAGCATGTCTTCTTAATAGTCCATAAAAATTGCTGCCGTGCACAAGTTCTTCCTGCTGTAAAAAGTCCAATTGCTTATGTACCCTACAAGTGTACAGAACTCCCAGGGCCCAGTAAGTTTGCTCAGTTTATTTCTTTTTTAAACCCTGAACCATAAAATTAGAAAATAAATAAATTCTAGTAAAAAAAGGATTACTAGTGTGGATACTGATTTTTCCACTTACGCAGACCAATTTTATTAGCTCAGATATGCATAATGAACATCTTTAGTATTAATTATGCTTAACTGTACTGGATTCCTATCATTTTGAACAGTTTCAGACCACACCACTAAAACAATTCATTGAAATGAGAGACACTGAAGTAAGATCAAGAAGAAGTGTGACCAGATTTTACTGGAACAAATCCAGAACCAAGGCTCGGGCAGCACTTTTTTCTTTGCAGGGGGGAGGGCTGTGTTTTGGTTTTGTGTTTTTGTTGTTTTGCTTTGTTTTTTTTAATGTGACATATGCAAAATTATATTTCTCATCTAATACTCATTTGTATTTGCTTGAACAACTGGAGTTCTGGATCTTGCCAACTCATAAGCACATGTGCCACTGCTTGCTCAGAATAGCTGAGGCCAAGGAGATGGCAGATGCAGAGGAAGCCTGTATTTACATGTTCTCAGTTCTCTGAACTGTCTCAAAGACAAACAAAACCTGGCAAATTTTACACTGCAATCTCACTCATAATGAAGATTCTTATTTTGATAAACACTAGCAACTAGCTCAGTACCTTATTAAAGTATCATCTCTTATTTGAACAATCATGCTGTGTGCTCAAATTTGTTTTTCATTGTGGTTGGCCACAATAAAACAGCTAAATGCACCCTGCTTCTGGTCTAATGTGTTTTTTCGGGTCTGAAACACAAAGTTGCAAGACAATATGTCTGAAAAGAATAAGGAAAAGAGTAACCTTAAGACTAAAAGCAAAACCTCCTTAGACCATTATCACTGTTTCTGGGGCTTTGATTTCCTGCAGTACTGGGTACAGTAATGTAGGTGTT